AAAAAAAAAAAAAGAAAAGCTGAAATTTAATTTTACTGTATTGAAAGTTTAATTGAGAGTTGTTAAATTAGTATCAATAGTATTTTGGCTATCGGTCGCTGTTACCGTTATCGTCATTTTAGATTTCTAGGATTAGTTTTTTTCTATGATTATTATTATTAACATCGTCATGGTTTCTTTTTGCAATTACAATGACAAATATTTTTTGCACTGGCTTTTTTTTTTTTGCTTTTTTCTCTTTGTTTTTTTTCATGTTTAACATGTAAAAAAATTTATGTTCACCCCTCTTTTCTCAATCTGTTTTTATCCTCATCTGCTCCACTTTTCCTCACTTGCTAATTCTGCAACGCAAATAAACGAAGAGCAACAATTGAATTTTGATTGATCATTGAAACTAAACAAACTGTTTGCAACAAATACGCTTAATTTGACCAACCGACAACTTTTTTTTCCCTTTTTATCAACCTAGAGATGAATTTATTCTGCATTTGTTACTTGTAGGGTAATATACCTACAAAAGTGTTCTTACTTAACGAATAACAATGGCAGCAGAAGGGCATAATGTGGATGCAAATTTGATGGCCATTGAACGTGATCATGGGCACTATTTTGTAAGAAAAACTTGCGGTAAACCAGCATATTGTCATCACTGTTGCGAAAAAATATGGGGAATGTTGACTCAAGTTTATGTCTGTGAAGGTTTTTATTTTTTGTTCTTTTTTGCTCACTTATAAGTCACTTTTTTTTAAATTTATTTTTTACTTACTGTCTAATTTATGTGAAACAATAATTGCTGTAGTACTCTTCAATTTTAACCACTATCTATTTCAGTATGTAACTTTGTTTGTCACGATCGGTGTCTAAAAACTGTGGTATCCTACTGCAGTAGTGTCGCTCTTCAACTAATTAAGGTAATACATTTTTTGGGTATGTTTTGAATAATGTTGCTTTACATTGACGGCGTGATCTGTGGTAGCTAGAACTAGAAAAAATTGCTTTTGCATTTGCTGATACAGTGAAAGTGGCATTGTATATGATATAAAATTATTTTTTTTCTTTTATCTTAACTTAACAACAATACTGGCAGAACTTATGTGAAATTCATTATAAAACTTAGAAATTTACTGCAAATGATTTGTAACACTGTTGATGTGACATCAGATTTTGGTAGGTGTGGTTGAAGGGCTGAAAAAACGAACCTTTTTGTTTTATAATATAGTTAGTATTTTCTGAAGCATTTGAATGAAGTTGAAAATTTTCAAGCTGGAGAAGAAAAAAAATGTTAGGTCTGCATTGAACAGGTAATCCAAGTGTTGCTGGACGGCAACATGATAGAAATGGTCAATAAACCTTTCAAATACAATTAGTTCTTGGACACGTTGTCTTTTTTCTTCAATTATTTATGTTTATAAATAGTGGCAAAATTTCCTTTAGAAAGAGCCTCAAAAACTCAACACTTTAATCTTGAAAAAAAGAAAACTAAAACATTTTAACTGCATATTGACAGCGTTTAGTTGAATAAGACTGGATGCATTATGGGAACTAGTGAAAAAAAGGGGCTTTTCTAGTTCGGTGGCTCCATTTTTTTTTTCAGTCAATCAAGTTACTGAATTTTAATAGTAATAAATGTGGCTCTATTTTAACACAACTAATAACAAAGGTGGGGTCACACATCTAAAAAACAGCCGAAAAAAATTTTGATTTCAGTGGGTCGGTTTTTCAAAAGCAGTGCTTTATCAGAACAACATTGTATTTTTTGAGTCAACTGAGAATCTTAAATTTGCGTTGGTAGTCTTCATAAAGTCTTTCAAACTTTTAATGCGTTTTCCGTTTTTGTAAAGGTTATTGTGTTCTTTCTAACCACTCCCACTCAAACTAGATGATTTTTATGATTATTCTGATTAATACAGTCTTAAGCTGTTGCTTTAGCACAATTGTCACCTTTCGGCTTTTATTTGCTTACCCGTTATCATTCAAGCAAAACAGCTACCCAACCACTCTTTACTACAACAGCAATGGTTTTTTTTAATTGCAGAATCCGGTAGCTCATACGTGGTCTGAACCAAGTCATATCAAAAAAAAGTTTTGTTGTGTATGCCGTAAACGAACAGAAGAAAGTTTATCTATTGAATGTGAAGGTAATGACATGGCGTAAAAAAAATAAAATTCAATTTTAGTTAAGGAGTTTATTTTTAAAGTTTTATTGGAATTACTGTATTAAAAAATATTTTAAATATTTGGTCAATGGTTGATATTTGTATTTTTTAAGAACAATTCTAATTAATTTTAGTTTGTGATTATTATGTACACGTAGATTGTCAAGATTTAGCTGTCAGTGACTGCAAGGAAGCAGCAACCTTTGTGCCAAATTTAGACAAAGTATGACTTTTGCTTTTTCAATTTACTCGTTACAGCTGTTCGCTTGCCTACAAACAAAAATTTTTTGTAATCTTTCAGAGAAGTTACAGTAATGAAAGTTTTGAAATATTATCTACAAATTCACTGCTTAAGAGAGGAATCGAAAACTAAGAGAATTGTTGCAGAACTCTCAGATTCAACATCATCACATGAGAGAATGTAATTTACCTCGGGATTCGCGTTGTATTGTCTGCAAAAAGAATTGTTCCTCCTATGAATGCCTTGCTGGTATGAAGTGTGCTTGGTGCGCTGCCACGGTAATACGTTATTTATGCTTGAATTATTTAAACCTTGTCTTGCTGATCAGAAAAATTAAGTTTAGATCGGCATTAGTAAAACGTTTTAAAGTGATGTTTGGAGTTTTGAGTTTAACTGCTTGTATAATTCAATACTTTTTTAAAGGCACACGCTGTCTGCTACCGTCAAATGCCGCCTGAATGTGATTTTGGAGCTTTAAGAAAGATAATGTTACCTCCATATGCAGTTACCATACCACGTAACGAACTGCCAATGGAACAGCTGTTGAATATACATGTCACACAGGCGGAGCCTGCAACTCCTACATGTGAGATGGATTGATTAACAATACCTACATCTTAAGTGATTTTCAATAAGCTTTACTAACTGACTAGCTTTTTCTTTTTTACAGCGGGGGCTTCTACCAAACCCGTACTGGAAGAAATACCGTCACTGGATGATTCCAGAGATGACACAGAGACCTTGTGCGTTTTTGATGGTAATAGCTCCTTGAGACATCAAGTGTTTAGGACAGCAACAATACCAAAAACAGCTTCTGTACAGCAAATCAAAGTTAGTTTTTCTTGATAGCTTCAACTTAACTTTAGTTTATGCAAAATTGGGTTTTGTATTCAAAGAGGTTGTTATTTATTTTTAACTGTAAGTGTGAACATCTCAGCAGAAGTAGTGAATTGACACACCTAAATTGGTGAATTAATTAAAGTTATGATTTTTCACAAAGAGAGTAATGAACCGTTTCCAGGAGGTTGCAATGCGTCGATTCCACATTACAGACAATCCCGAATTGTATTACATATCGCAAATTCTAACCGATGGTTTGCGAGTCTTTTAATCATTCAAAAAAACTGTTGAAACTGTTTCTTTCTTTTTGTTTTTCATCAAAAAACTCTAAAATTCTTATTTCCGTTTTCAAGGTTTTTTGTATTTGAAAAACTTGGTCTTTGTCACTATTTTGTTTTTAAAAAAATGACGTCAGTGTTTTTAGAAGGCGAGGAAGAAGTGTTGGAAGATCCGGTACCACTCCGAAACGTGAAAAGACCTGAAGGTAGACGTGCAAGGATATTCCTTCGTTACAAGGATGATCCTGAGAAAGTTTCCGTCAAAATATATGGAGGATGGCTGAGGTTTCTTTTCATCACTAAATAATCTTATTTCTAACACTTAAGCTGCTTCTGACAATTAAATTGGTGTTGTTTGATAAAGGCGTTTATCAAAAAATTTTTTAGGATATTAGCCATCGTACGTATGTCAAAGTTTATTTGACTATCGGTTAAGGTTGTCTGCTGTTAAAGCCCTGCTTTCCCTCATTTGGTTTAATGTTAGAAAAAAATAACTTTTGTTTGCTTCATAACCACACCTTTAGCTTTTAGCTTCTTATTTGATAAAAGAAGCAAATTACTTGCTTGAAGTAGTTTTCTTCTGCCTAACCATACCCGGTGCTCTAAATTTTTAAATATCTGTTATATAACGGCGACAAAACTTTTTAATAGAATAACTAATATTGTTACTTTTCTATTTGTCTACCTGTAATTTTAAATGGTTCAGAGTTTATAAAGAAAAAGAAAGATTAACAAAGCTTTTTTACTTTAGGGCTACTAACATGTCTTTTGCTTAGGGTACCGACAACATTTTGCACTTTGGTTGTTACTCGAGAAACTTTGGTACAGGATGCTATCGCTGAAGCACTCGAACAGTTTGGGCTTGACCCAACAATTGCTAATCGCTATAACTTGGTAGAAGTGTCTCTTGAGAGAGGTGTTGCGGAAAGAACAGCAAACCCTCAAGAGAACATGTTGCAGTTAGTTCGCAACCTTCGAAAGGTTCGTATTCTTTAAGCAGTTTATCTGGCCACCTAAAACAACGCATTTTAACCGCTTTTATTTTTTAGCAGACTAACAGCAGTGAACAATACCGTTGCTTAACCACGCGAGACAAAAATTAATTTACAATTTAGCCTTAGTTGTCTTTTTTAGCATTTATACATTTTGAAATGTTGGGTTATTCACCAAATCAAATATGATTTTAGGATTCTCTGCGTCGTTATCATGTGGTCAGGTTTTATGTTCAAGAAAAAGAAGATCCACACGATCACGCTGTCTTTGTTGGTAATTTACCGGTATCATTAGCTCAACGACAGTACGAGCGAATTCTGTTGAGATTATTAGGTGCCAAAGGTGGTAGATATGTCACTTTATTTTTTAGTTTTATAACCTTCTCACATTTGCACCTTTGTCTTTTAAGTCAATTTTAAAAAAAATTAAAACTGGAACAACAGTTACTGTAACTATACCGTGACTTTTGATAACCGACCGACTTTTATCGTCTTATTGATCATTTTTTTGTACATCTGAAAGAAAAATGTGAAAGAAAAGCAGCTATTTATTGCCAAAATTTGAAAATTTCTTAGATGCCTTTTTTTATTTTATTCACATACAGAAAAACCATTTACCGCTATTGGTCCAATTTATTTTGAATACGGTTCTCTGGTAATAACATTTAATTCGGCGAAGGCAGCGACATCTGCGGTTCAACGGCTTCAAAATTCTGTATATGAAGACAAGAAGCTCATTGTTCTTTGTTTACCTAATGTTCAGGTGTTCATTTCCACCTTTTTTTTTCTAACAATTTTTTGTCGGTTGTAAATGGTTACTTTCAATAGTTTTTGTGGCTAATGGATGAACAGTTGGTTAAGTAAAACTAATATTGATGCACATTTTAAGCCGCGGATGTTACACAGTGACTGTGAACCACTGTTAGTATTAGTTAATGTTAAAAGCGGTGGTTGTCAAGGTGTTGAACTGATCAAGTCGTTTCGACGTTTGCTCAATCCGTTTCAAGTCTTTGATGTTGTTAAAGGAGGTCCATTAGTCGGGTATATATTTTCTGCTGTTGCTGTTCACAATTACTGTACAGAAATGAATATGAGCGTTTTCATATGCATAGTTAAAGACGTTTTCGTGAATTTTTATTGTTTCGGAGTTTTTCATAATTGTAGGAAATTTATTGGCTTTTCAGGTTATATGTTTTTCGAAATATTCCCAAATATAAAATTCTTGTTTGTGGTGGCGATGGAACAATTGGCTGGGTATTGCAGTGCTTAGATATTGTAAAGCAGGTACAAATTTTTATAATTCTTATCTTTACTGTGATTTCAAAAGTAAGAAAGTGGAATGCGGAATCAAAAAAAAAAGCGTCTAGCATGTGTTTCATTTTTGATTAAGTATAAAAAATGGCAAAATTTTTTCTTAACACTATGAACATTCAAATAAATATCAGCTGATGTGCATTTTTTGTGAGGTTCAAAAACTGATTAGGTGAGTGGGTATATATTTTAAAGGTATGTACTCCTTTTGGAGTTTTGCTTGTAGTAAAAACTTAGATCAAAAGTTAGAAGCTCCCTCAATTGGCTATTAGTGTTGAGTCTCAAAATTTTCTTGAAAAATATCTTTAATTAATTTATTTGACGGCAGCTAGTATTTTAATATCATTACACAAATTCGTGATATTTTTAGGATTCTGCTTGTTTTTCTCCCCCTTGTGGTATAGTTCCACTGGGTACCGGCAATGATCTGTCGCGGGTTTTACGTTGGGGTGGTGGCTATACTGGTGAGGAAAATCCTATGGATATTCTTAAAGATGTTATTGAAGCGGAAGAAGTTCGCTTGGACAGGTGGGTGCTGGTATTGAAACTGTTTCTCTGTAGAAAATTCTTATTTATACAGTATTAGCTAGCTTATCAACATGTACCCAGATTACATCAATTACCACTAGCGTTCTGTAGGTGGGCTGTTGTTTTTCACGAGGAAGAACGTTCTCAACCACCAACTACGAGCGGAAGTGAAGCATGTGCTGAACGAGATCAAATGATGAACAATCCGGAAGACCAAACGTCGATGATCATAATGAACAATTATTTCGGAATTGGCATTGATGCAGATGTCTGTTTGAAGTTTCACAACAAGGTTAATTTTGCTAGATTTGTTCTTTTTGCATGATTGCTAGCTTAAGATAAAATTTAAAATTCTTGCTTGTTAGACAATCTTAAAAATTGCAATTTTCAGCGGGATGCAAATCCGGAAAAGTTCAGCTCACGTTTGTTTAATAAAACGCAATATGTTAAAATCGGTCTCCAAAAGGCCTTTTTTGAAAGAACCTGCAAAGACCTGTGGAAGAGAATTGAGCTCGAAGTTGATGGGAAGGAGATTGAACTACCAAATATTGAAGGAATTGTTGTTCTCAATTTGTTAAGGTCACTACTTCAGTTGTTTTCCATTTGTTCACTTTAACAATAACACATCGCCTAAATATGTAAGGAACAGATACGTCGATGTTTTTTGTTGAGTTTTATATAGTTAACCCTTAACTGTTGATTCTTTATTCCTTCACCAGTATGCCACATTACAGTTGGGGAAGTGGTGCAAATCCATGGGGGACAGCAAAAGAAGAGGGTCAGTTTCAAAAGCCGACTCATTACGATGGCCTTCTTGAAGTAAGTATTTTTAGAGCGAATTTTTGATAATCTTTTTGAAATATGCAATTTCATTCAAATTTAGTTTATCTGTCAACATTCTAAACAAATTTTTTGTATTAATTTCCTTTGATGATCCAACTTTGCGGAATTTTTTTCTAGAATCAGTTACCAGTTTTTTGAATGAAGTTTATATCTTTTTATGTCTC